TGAAAAGCAATATAACGCAAAAAAAAAAAAAAAACCCAAACAGATGACGGAATGTTAACGAGAAATAAATGTGCTCATTAAAAGACAAAATATTTTAAAATTATTGTCTTTATATTTAATATTTTTTTTGGAAAATTCTTTTAATATCAGGTTACTTAGAATTATGAAAACTGTACTTTATTTTCATGGAATTGAAAAAATAATTTGAATCCTTTCTAGAATAGTAAAGAAACGATTCATGAATGTACATGTAAAATATTAAAGCAGGGTAGATATATTTCATTTATGCTGGAAATTCAAAATTACGATCCAAAAGAAAACTAAATTATTTCTTAGAAATGTTATACATCTTAAGCCATTATAATTATGATTAATTTATTTCTGCAACTTAATAGAATATTATTCTAGAAATTAGAATTTCTGCAAATTATAAAATAATAAAAAATGCTGACAATGAAACTCAATTATTATATTTAATGTTATTAATTTAGAATTTTATTTTATTTAAAATTGCAACATGTTATGCGATACAATAATTTCTAGCAATAACAGTTCAGAAATTTTTAATATTCATTCATATTCTCTCAATTAAAGGTATTGTTTAAGATAATCATGGTATATTTTTAAAAAATTTTATAATTTCGAAATTCAATAATAAAAACTTCAACACATATTTTTAAATAATGTCTTAACAATTCAAATGATACACCTAAAAATGATTATAGGTAATTATTTCATATTAATGAAATTTGTTTATTCTTCATTTTTAGTATAGATCATCATAGAGGTTTCTTCGCCAAATAGATCAGATCATATAAATGATTCTGAAATTGTTATACAAAATCTTATTTTAAAAAATATGCTCTTAATTAGAAGTCATCAATATATTCTTTGAAAGAAGAAAAATTTTTACATTAATTCATTTCATTGAAATCATATCATCCTGGATAAAAGCCTTGTTCCGGTTTCAATATATATATAACAATTATATATATATATATATATATATATATATATATATATATCTATTTGATATAGAAAAGGGTTTTTAATATAAAAATAAAAACAACAACAAATTTAATTAGGTAATTTTTATATATTTTTTTTTATTTATTAATTTCTTTTTGCCTCATCTTTGGTATCTTTACTTAATCAATTAATATTTTATTATCTAAATTATGTTTGAATTTTAATATTTTATATGTATTTATCAACTGTATACTTGACTATCATATTTTAATATAATTATAATATACTGATTTTGTTTTATAAATTATAAAATAATTTATGATTAGAGATATAAATTTATGTACTTAAAAAAAAAAAAAAAATTAAATTACATTCATACATAAAATTATAAATTGTACTAGAAAAATATTCATTATTATTTCATTTTTTTTTTTTCCAAGTTTTTGTTTTTTATTGTTTTTTGTATTTTTATTTGAGTATCGATTGTCCTACATGAAAAATTAAAACTATTTACATAATTATTTTATTTCCATTCATTTTTAATAAATAATTAAATTTCTATTGATCTTATATTGAATAAAATAAAAATTAAATATTATTCTGTATTATTCTATAAATTAAAAGAAGTTTATGTATATTTTATATACACATATTAAAGTTATGTTAAAAATTTAATTAATTAAAATTAAATACTAAAAGTAATTAAAAATGTCTACTATACATGATTTTTATTTTACATTTTTAAACAATTCCCACACAAAATATGCCAAATTCTATTTTAATTGTGATTTCTCTTAATATTTATTTAATAAAAATATTTATTTTATAGGTTCAAATATTTGCATATTTTTTTTTTTTTGTTTTATTTAATTAATTAATCAATTTTACTATTATTTTTGTGCATTAGAATGATTAAAAATGTTTTTTTTTTTTTTTTAATTCTTTTTTTAAATATTTATCAATTTATTAAAATATTTTTCATATTGTTTTGGAATTAAAAATATTATTCATATTTATATTTTTCAATTTTATATTTAATTGATTTTTTTTTTTATTATTTTTGTTTGTCTTTTTGTATTTTTTGCAATGCAATTTTAGGGCCAATTAATTTTGTATTATGTACATAGTAAATTTTAAAGAATATTTTTTTAATTTAAATAAAAATAAAAATAAAGAATTATGAATAAATTGGATACTGTTAAGGAACTTCAAATTAATGATTAAATTTTAATTAGCATTATTTAAAGAATAAAATTCAATAATACGAACAAATATAAAATAAGGATTCAATTTCAAAAAATTCAATTCTAATTTAGACCTTAATATAAAGTAAATATATTCGATAGATCAAAATTGAAAAAGAACGTTCGAAAATCGTAGGATTTTTTTTAAAAACTGCAAAAAATATTTTAAGTTTCAAAAAAAAATCTGACATAGAAAAATGATAGAGCAAAATCACATGTAGATCTGTAATGATGCAGAAAAAGATTTTTAAAAATTTAAATTAGAACTTTAAATCTGAATTATAGAAAATCTACTTTCATGTACATCTTTTATGGTTTTAATTGCAATTTTATAATAGCATAATCAATAAATTACTCAAGTAATGAATTAAGAAATTTAAATTAATTAAAAATTCTTAAATCTATAATTATTTTAAAATATCAAACTAAGGCTTTTTTTTTTAACAAAAATTAAACAGAAATTTACATAAATTATAAAAATAATAGATTTAGAATACTCATATTAGAAATTTATATTTTAAATACAAAAATAGTTTTAAAAAAAATTTACTTCCATATATTAAAAAAAAATTTTTGAATAACAAACATTATTTTTTGTAATGTAACTAAAAGTAATTAGTAATAGTATTTATATAATAATAATCAATATTAAAAAATATATTATAAAAAATTATCAATAATTATAAAAATATTTAAAATTTCATATTTTTGTTTAAATTAAATTAAAGGTTTTGCATATACAAATAAAATAGAATAATCTATAAAGATTGATAAGAGTATAAAATTATCAAAATTAAAATAATATTTAACGATTTACTTTTAATTAAAATTAAAATCTTAATGAATTTGCGATTGTGTATTTTTATTAAATATTTTATTCCATAATTTTTGTTGTATATTTTTCTTTTGTCTTTTTATTATTTACTTAAAATAGTTTTATAAATATTTCTTTAGTCTTGCTAAAAAATATAAAATATTATTTTTATTATTTTTTTTTTTTTTGTTTGTTTTAAAGAGGGTATACACATACGATAATTACAATTTTAATATATAATAAAAATCTATTTACAATACTTGAATCTTATATATAATGTGATCTTATTTTTTAAAAAAAAAAAAAAGATTTGTTCTTAAAATTTGTTATGAATTAGAATGCTTTAAGATATCAATAATTTGCATAAAGTATATTTTAATTTAATTTTTAATTAATTCTATACATTTCAATGCACATATTTATTTATATGTAAATATATTTCGATATTATTTCTATTGTGTATATTTAATTTAAAATACTTTTGAAATGAGCTATTTTTTTAGAGTCATGAAATAAATGTGTTTTTCTTTTTTTTTTTTACATTATAAATTTCGCTCGATAATTATTTTTCTTCTTTATACTTTTACTATTTTAACAAGTTATAGTAATAATAAGGATAATATTAATAATAATGATATTACGCAATATAATGATAATGATTAATATATATATATATATATATAGGTCTGGAATTATCTAAGGCCATTAATAATTATTGTTTATCTTCATATTTAATTTAAAATTAAATTTCATAATTTAATTTAAACTCATTTAAAATTTTTATTTGTTTTTCTTGGAAATTTCTAAGGCTAAAATTTCTATATGCAAAATTTGTAAAGTTTTTAATATGCAAAAACCAAAATTTAAATAAAATACTGCAAAATAATAATATTAATACTATGTTACACTAAATTGTGTAATCATATATAAAACACTGGTGTATAATTAATTTGATAAAATCATAAACAAGATTCTTAATTCATTAAACATGAGTAAATATCAAATTTGAGCTTAAATTTTTTTTTTAATTGCTTAAATTTAATAACTGTTTTAGAATTATATATTTGTTTTTAATTTATTTTTATTAATTTAGTTTCTGAATTTATTTATTATTTAACAAACTGCCTACTCGTATCAAATTTTAAGATATCACTTAATAATTTATTTAATGTTTTTTTTTTTTTCATTTTTCTTTTTCAAATTTGTATGTTAAATTTTAAAAAGATTTCTCAATTAGATGTGTAAATTTAAAAAGAAATTATGGGAGAAATTAACAGATAAATTAAGTTTTAAAAAAATTTAATTATGCATTTCTATCTCTTTTTATCACATAAATTTTATAAAATTTAAATATAATTAAAAAATTTATTTACAAAAAAATGGTTGCGAATAATTTCAATTTAATTTGAAATATGATAAAATAATGTTAACTAATAGTGCTACATTTTAATGCCATTCATTTTTTAGCATGTGCAATTATTGCTATAAAATATAATTTCTTTAATTTTAATTTAATTTGTTCTAAAAATTTTGTATTTAAATTTCATGATTTTACATCAAAAATTAATGTTGACGAAAGAAAAAGTTAGTCTATTTAAAAAGAGATTAATTTTTGAAACACTGAAAATATTTTTGTTTCTATAATAAGATCTCTATTTTTTTTGTAAAATATGAATAGTACAAAGTTATCAAATATAGGTTTAATTAATGAATTAAATTTGAAAAAAATAATTAATTTATTCAAATATTTTAAAGTGACAATAATGTTGTAGATCAAATTAAGTTTAATTATAAATTGTAACTAAAATAAAAAATTAGAAAAATAAGTTTTAATTGTGATTTTCATTAATATTTTTGAAATCTACCTTTAAACGTTTTTAAATTGTAGATGTTTAATCAAAAACGTTTATACAACGTTTATAATTAAGAAAATTTTAAAAAATTTTTGCTACAAAAAATTTTATTTAGGGCAAAATATTAATATTTTATTTACATTTAAATAATATTTATTTTTTTTGTTTGCATGATATTATATGAAATATAATATATTTTGAATATAATTTTAAAAAATAACAAAAAAAAAAAAAATTACAAATATACTTTTGCATAAAATGTTTGCACTACAAGCAAATATTATCGAACATCAGGTAAATTAAATTGATTAATACCTAAAATGTGTTTTTCTTCGTGATATTTTCTTAAGATATGTGATATAATTGTTGATGTGTCACTATCACCTAACCACATTGATAATGCATTTTGATTTTCTAGCATTGATAAATAAGCTATAAATATCTTTGGATTACTTAAACTAATCTGAACTTGAGGTGATTGCATCATTGCTTTTAAAATGGGTGATTCATGTGATAAACCTTCACGTAATTCTAATAAACTAGCATTTCGATTACCACATAGCCATTCACATGCAGCAGCCTGATTATTATGCGTTTTACGTAATGCTTCTCGAACATCTGCTTCAGAAAATCCCATTTCAATTAGCGATGAAACAACATGCGGTTGTGGTGGTACATCACGATAACTATATATCCTAACAATTTCGAGTAAAGCTTCAATATTATCTACAATACTATTAGTTTGAGAAAGTTTCGATGGTATTATTTGTGTATTAGATGATGCCGAAAGATGTGTAATACTATCTTCTATCGATGTTAATTCCTGTTCGCTCTGATGTTGAATCAACCATTCTAAAGCAGATGAGTATACCCCACTTTAAATTAAAAAAATTGTTTAAAAATATATTTAAAATATCATTAAAAAATTGATACAACAATAAAAAGTTATATTATATAAAATAAATATATAAAGGTGTATATTCAAATATTTCTATGATAAATAGAAACAACGAAATTAAGAAAAAATTAAAAATTTTTAAATCAAAATGAACTCGAATTTTCCTTTTCAATAATGCACTTATATATTTGAGTACATTAACTACTCTACACTTTTACAGCCTAATATGCAACGGCAGCACTGTTTCCAAACATTTTCTCGAAAAAATCTCGAAGATCAATTCGACACTCGAATCGAAATGTCAGTTGATCTTGAACACCATTGTAAACATAAACAAAATTCAGATTGCGAATTTATTTTTTTGTTGTTTTTTAAGCTACTGTAATAAATGTGTAGTAAACAGTGTATTTTCATAGTAAATTTGTATATTATTTTCTTCATTTTAAAAACTCACTTTTGAAAAAATGAGTAATGTCCAAAATTTGTATCGTATAGAAACTTTTGAACAAGCTCTATTAAGATGTAGAGCCGAAAATCGCTCAAATATTGAAAATGTTTGGAACGACGTTTTTATTGCTCATCATCACCCAAAAAAAGAAAAATTAATTGAAATAACAGGCGCTCCAAATTCAGGAAAGACTTTATTTTTGCTGGAAATAATGGGCAGATGTATACTTCCGCAGAATTATGGAGGGAAAGAATGTGAAGTTATTTTTCTCAATTGCGATCAAAAATTTTCATTGGAATATTTTTCAAATATATTAAAAAAGCTAATTTTGCAGAATGATAAGGAAGTTATAAATTTAAATATTGCAAATATTATGGAAATTTCCTTAAATCGCTTAAAAATTTACAATTGTTTTTCGTCAGATGACCTTGAATTTTCACTAATTGATACATCAACCTATGCTTTCAATAATAATAATTTACGCTTATTGTGTTTAGATTCTTTAGGCTCCTTTTATTGGAATGCACGTACAGAATTCCAACAAGAAACCAGATTTATCAAGATGGAAACTTATTACAATAAGATTTTCGAATCAATACAAAATATTTGTATTAAATACAAAATAAATGCAGCATATACAATTCCGAATTATTGCAGTAGTAAAGTAAAATTATTAGGTGATTATATATTCCACTTAACAAAAACGGATGAAGAAAATATTATTGAATCTCAAATCAAACATATAGCATTATACAATAAAGTACAATTTTCATTTAGTTATGATGGAATAAACATTATTTCAACTTACTTGTGCAGTTTTAATGCATAAATAGCTTTTTCTTTTGAAAACCCCATATCAACAAGGCACTGTAGTGTATCCGACTGGTGTCTTCTTTTATTGATCAATTTTTGTTTCAACATTGAAATTAATCTTGGAGCATAAGGACCCGCACCAATTATGTAAGCAGATTCTTGTGCCAAACTAATTAATACCTTGCGAACATCAAACTGTATCTGAAATAATTAATGCTCTGAATTTAAATACATATATTTTGGTGATACTTACGTCTGATTGCGCAACTAATTCATTAATATCCACCCTACGAAATTCCCTTGTTGGATGGGGTATATTTCGTGTTGCTTGTTCAATTTCTTCAACTCTTGGAGCTTGATATTGGTCAACAGATCTTTGAATATTTGTGCGTTTTACAGATAATACTAAAGTTTCGTTATTTTGTATTCCTAATTGTGCTAAAGTCTTATCTTCCTGCATATCTGTCTGATGAATTCCCGCAGAATCTGGTCTTGTAAGGCGATATCTGCTAGTAAGTTGTTTTATGTCTGTAGCATATAACGGTAAAGCACAAGAATCTGATGACAATTCAATTAAGATTTCATTTTTTAGTTCTAATAATTTTTTACTTGTGAATGCATCAATAAAAATTGAACGACCATTTTGTATCAATACGCGTATACGAATTTTTTCTTTAAGGTCTAAATCTTTTGATCGCCTTTGATTAATATTAGACGGATTTTTTCTGTAAAAGTTAATAAACAAAATTAAGTATGTATGTATATGAACCTACACTTTTAAAACTCAATTACAAACTTTTTTTGAAAAATTTTTAATAGTTTCTTCATTTTTAAAATTTTATACCAACTTGACTTACAATTTTGAGTATTTTTGACGTTCTTCTCTACGACTAATATGATTCGGAGATGATGAACTTGCTGTTAACTTTTGTGATTGTTGTTGTTGATGCGTTTGTTCTTGTTGGTGGCTATAATTATTTGAGGACGATCCAGCTACACTTGGAGATGGAGCACTTGGCAAAGATGAGGTATTATTATTATCATTTCGTTGTTTACGTGAGTTGACCCACTTACGTACCCAAGGGATCATAGTGGCATATTTCCAAATTTATATATTAACAATGTTTGATAATTTTAAAAAAAATTTCCATATTATCACACACTATTTTTATTTGATATAGTTATTTTTCTGAAAATCATTAAAAATTACTACACCAGATACATTTCTATTTTTATATGTTTCGAATTCCTAAGAGTATACTTACGCATTGAAAAATTTTACAGCAATTATTGAACAATAATTGGGTTTTCAGGAAAATTATGATTTAATATTATGTAAAACATTATTTAAAAAAATTGTATGTAATCAATTTTTAAATTTATTTTGTTTTAAAAAACTTTGAAAATATTTCGTAAATTTAGACAACTATTTGACAGATAAAATTCCAGTGTTGGTAAATTCAATTTCTGTTTATTGATTGTTTTCTATTAAAGCATTGATTACTTAATAAATTGAATACCAAATTAGAATTCGTTTTTTTATTTTATTACAATTTAAATGAAGTCAGATTTTTGAAGATCTTTAAAAATTATACAAAGTTTCATATATCCTTTTAAACATAGTGAAAATAAATTTGTGAATGAATGACTCGATTTCCGTAAGCTTTATATCCGTTGTGATATCTTATCTACTTTAAAATTTCATCAAAAAATTTTTTTTAATAACTCAAAATCTAATCAAATTTTGAGTAATTTATTTGTTGTCTATGAGTGGTTAGTTTAATATCTGTTCTTAAAGCAGATAATATGTTCTTACTATAATATGGTATATAACATGGCATTATTTTGTATTCAAATTTCTTAACTAGTAAATGAGGAATATAGTGTTTCTTTTCATATTAGTAGTTTGACAAAGGCAATATAAAGTTATTTCGAAAAAAATTTCATGTTTCTTTATTTGGTTTTGTGCTTGAAATTTTTAATAGGTTTTTCAAAATTCCATATCATAAACACAACAATTGCATATTGGTTTACTGGGTAACAATTAATGTCAAACATTTAACTAGAAAATGTCAAAAATCCAATTAGTTCATTTTATTCATTGCATATATACTGTTGGAGTAGAAATATTTGTTATTTTTCTTTGTGGATGATTTCATAAAGCATTAAAAACCACTAATTAAGTGGCTGAAAATGCATTATTTTAATTGATTATTAAAATACTTATGAAACATGTATTTCATGTGCAATAATTTTATTAAGTTTCAAGTCAGTTTTTGTATTACATAGAATATAAAAATATATCCAATATAGTGATAAAATAATAAAAAAAAAAAAATTGTTCTACTTAAGCATAACACCTGGCCAGCAAAAGAAATAAATAAAGTAAAACTTTTAATATAAGAACGTAATAGAAATTCGTAATTTAATATGTTAAAAATTCTTATCAGCGTAGTAAATGAAATTAAATTCCCCGGCGAGTAGAAAATACAAAAAAAAATGCAAATATTCAGTGAATAAAGAAAAAAAAAACCAATTTAGTGAACGTTTTTTAATTGCTTCATTGCCAGTTGTGTATGTATTATAATTATAATTATAAAAATAAGTATGTAAATAGTGTAACGTTGTCAAAAAATAAAACCAACATTTATGCTTTATAAAATCGTTTAATACTACCCACATTTTAAATAAAAGTATTAGCGAGTAAACTGGCACAGGAAAAAAAATTTTAATGAGTCATTGACAATTAAAATTTCTTATTTAAAAAAAAGTCCTTAGTAAATTAAGAATATATAGAACTGAAAGAAAAATGTTTGCCTCTTTAAAAAATAAAATTAAAGAAGAAACCGGTAACGATATACAATCTATACCACCAACGACACGTTCATCAATAATACAAAATCGTCGGGCCGGTAGACTCTCATCTACAACGAGTATTGCATCAACTGTTGAAGAAAATTTCGAACAGGTAAAATTTAGACGATAAAAAATAAATTATTAAAAAACATTTTAGTACTTATATACGTATTATCAGATTTATTATATAAAACGATTTATTTAAATGATTTTTACATAAGTAGCCAATTATACTACGTGTCTATTTTGCCTACTTCCTATATCAGTGAAAAAATAATATTAGTAGGTATGTAGGTATGTAGTTCCCTTCCGTATCATAGCTACTGTACTTAGTGATATTATTTAATAAATAGAGAACAAATCAAATTCAAAGTTGTAAATTTCCATTATTGGATAGATTTACATAGATACGTAGGCTTCTACTTTTAAAATTACTTATAGGTACTTTAAAACTCAAATTTTAATATTGAAATTCCAAAAAATTTTTGAATAGTTTAAAATAAAGCATTAATCTATGAGTCTATGGGGTTACTCTTCAATTAAAAATAACAAAAGTATAAGTTAAGTTAGGTAGATACCACCTACTTATTCACAAATATTCCTGCTTTCATCTCTATATGTAAAGATCTTCTATTTTCATCATAGAGATAGGTAGGTAGGTATATCTACTTTTGTTTGCTTTTCTCTTACTTATTTTTCATAAGATCATGGTGCAGAAGAAATAACAAAGTGTTAACAAGCTCTAATTTAATTGCACATTTTGAAAATTAATTTAATTTAAATAATAGTTATATAGGTAACTATATAGTTTAGAAATTACTTAACTACTTAGAAAATATGTTGTCGCATTGAAAAAGCATGGTATGTACGTGCATTTTATATATTAGCGTGATGTAAGTGTATTTCTTTGTATCTATTGAACTTAGAAGTAATAATGAGTCTTATACTAGCTATTAAGCACCTTAGAACTATTTAACTGTAAGAAATTCTTAAAAATTTTCAATTCATACGTGTTAAATTCTATAAAGAAATATAATTTCTCTACAAAAAAAAAATTAATTTCTTAACTTGGGAAGAAGAAATCCACATAAGACCTTATTAGTACTTTTTTTTTAATCATAATAAATATATCCGTATGTATATATAAATTATGTACATATGTACTTACAAATCTAAAATTATCAGAATAAAATTTTTGCTTTCAATAACTCTTATCGTATAAGATTGTTTATTATACATAAAGTAAATAAATAATACAATATTCTTCATACAAGTTAATATGTACTTATCTGTAACTGTAACTTAATTTATTTCCAAAATTAAATAATCAAAACAAAAAATTTCTTTGTATTTTATATTTTCATAAATATTTGTATATATATATAATATATATAAATACAATGTAAACATTTTTCATATGTACTTTTTATACTTAAATCACAGAAAGATACCGAATTGAATTCATTACGTAGCCAATACAATGAGCTTTCTGCTAAATATTATGAATTGAATAAGCGTTTTGAAATTGTGCAAGAGGAGAAAAATAATATCGAAAGAGCTAATCAAATTCTTCTTGAATCAGTTAAAGTTGCACAAAATCAAAAAGATTTAGTTTCTGAGGAACAAGAAAAAATACAAAATTGTCAATATGCTGAAATTGAAAAACTTAAAGGATTATTATCATTTCGTGAACAGCAAGCTGTTGATCATTTAGCAACTGTTAAACAAAATCAACAGCAAATTGAAAATTTAACTGCTGAATTAGAACGTTTAAAAATTTTAGAACCAATGCTTGAAGATCTAAAGGTAAGTACAATAAATTACTTCCTTATTATACAAAAGTATATAAGAAAAAATTCTTTTTCACGGGAATTTTTTTTTAAATTATACTATAAATGCTTACAGATTTTAGAATGATAATATTTAAGAAAAAATAAGCTTTATGCACTGCACTATCTTTTAAGTTGGAAATTCACGCTATATTTTTTTACATTTAAATTAAAGCTTTTTTTATTTTACAAGTATTGCAATTTTGTTGCAAGTAAATTTTGCTTTTTTCACAATATCTTGTTATTAAATGTATTAAATTGATTAAGGGCTAGATATTGGTTTCTTCAAGTATCTATACCTTAATTCATAATATTAATATTTTAATACATCAAAATATTTTTTGCAGTATCATCTAATGTTATGCTTTTCAAATTAATTAAAATTATATAATTATTGTATCTAGTTAAAGATTTCTTTTTTATTAATAATTTTGCTTCAAATCGGCTCATCAAAAATTTCCATTTCATCTTTGTGATTAAATCCTTTTCTAATTTTAGAAAATTTTCTACATTTATATTTAAAATATCCTCTGCAATATTATTACTTAATCTAGATTCTGTTAAAGTGCCTGTGTGATCCGTTAAATGCGTATTAATATCAAAGAACTGATCGAATTTATTATTTGAATCATTAAATGAAAATTGTAATTGACATCTCTCATTAAAACATATTTCTTCATATTGTTTTAATCGTTTTTTGCAGATTTTACTAAAACCAAATGTTATACGTATAATGAATACATATAATTGTCTTGATGAGAACCTTTTTGAAAATTGAATACATACCACTTTTTTCCAATTATACTTGAATATCCATCCAAATCAAATTTAGTTATCATTGCATATAGAACAGCAGTAAATTCTTCAGATGTATCGTCTTTTAAATGACCATTAATACGGTCATAAATTTGCTGTACTGTCATTACAGTTTTAATTGAATCAGCTAAAATTCAAATTAAGAATTAAAAATATCACATTTTCATAAAAACCGCAAATATTTTTATTATTATAAAATTGTAGAATACAAAAAAGAAACACTTTTACTTATGTAGTAAAAAGCATTTCAAATATAATTTACTTACCACTTGGCAAATCAAAATTACTAAAATGAAAATTATCTAAAATTGGTAATTCAGCTTTTGTAATGAAATTTCTTAATTCATTTGCTTCTTTACTATTTGGATTCTCAATTATTAGACTACGAGAACTTACTCCTAATACCGCTTGTTTATAAAATGTTGAATATCCAACTCTAATATCAATTAAATGCAATACTGTTTTTAGTGGTTCCCAATGGTCTATAACACGTGTTATCCATTCGTGATTCCAAATTGTAAATAAAACTCCTTTTAGAAAACTTTTATCGATAACAACCAATTCTAAACATTGTAAGTTTGATCCTGATTTTGATTTAATATTTCGTAAAGGTTTTATTATCCTAACACAAACTAGTAAATCAACAAATTGTCCTGAACATTTTATACCACTTGAATGAATATCAGCTAAAAGTAAAATGGAGTCAATTGTTTTTAATTGTTCGTTACGTAATTCTTGAATTTTTTTAAATTTTGAACTTCTTGTTGATAAATGACGTTCAATAAATCCAAATTCTTCAGTAATAACTAATGAAAATGGTAATGATACAGTTGGTTCAAATTGTAATTTCTCCCTTGATATTTTATTTGATTCGTATATAATTTTCGGGCATATAATGTCAATTACATCATATAAATGATATCTTTGATTTATTTCATCAATTTTCTCTTTACATAACCAAATTTTTATATTTGTAAAATGTTCCTTGCTATCACGTACAGTTAATGTCATCACTCCACAAAATTCTTCTGTACGTTTTGAAATAAAAATATTTGGTTGAGTTTTTGCTATAATTAAACAAACAATCAACACGTTTTTATCTTGTGGAGTAATTTCACATAAACGTTTTCTTTCTATTTCAGCCATTTTAAGTTTACCAACCAATATTATATTTAAATGATTTTATTAAATAAATTTTACAGTAACAGTTTTATTTTAAAGTGTTGCCATTTTGAAAAATGGTTTAGCTTTGCTTCTATTTAAAAATTTTTGAAATAAGTGTACGGAAGTTAGTTAATTTCTTTTTTTTTTTTTAAATGTGTAGCAACTATTGTATTATTCAGCAGCATTCGTATAAAATTCAATAAAAGAGAGTGATTGATCGTAACTCTTAAGTAATATTTTGAGAATATAAAAAAACAATTGAGTATTACGATTTACGGCATACGAGTACGCTTTTTCTCTATCCTATTATAATGGGTAATGTGCATGCATCTGTATTTCTACTATTTAGGTTGAAGATCTACTATAAACATTTCAAATATCACACATTAATGACATTGATGACCGTTATTATCTTGTTCATACTTAAATACTTTTTTCGTTACATAATAATATAAGCTGTGTCAATTTGTCATTTCATTATGCCACAAATCTAATGCAATTTGTGAAATCTAGAGTAAAAATGATTGTTGGTCAATAGTGTTTTAATATAGTTCTATATTATTGATTCTATTGAAATCTAATTTTGACAAAAGTGAAAAACCAATTTAAATTTCAACTTTGAAAAATTTTTGTTATAAGTTTGAGTTTAATATGAATTTTGTTTTTTAATTATGCAATTGTTAAAAGCTTTTTAGTGTTTATGTATGTATTTTCTTAATAAATTTGTAAGTATGATTTTGATTTAAGTATAACTTTTTGAAATTAATCATTTAACATAATAACTTAATTTTTAAGTGTTACTGCTAATATTAGTTTTAAGATATTGCCTGGATTTTGTACATATTTTTGTTTCTCTACCACAACTATAAGCAACATTTCACAATACAAGTTTCATTTATATTTTGTATATGTAGTACTTATTTTAAACACTTATTCTCTTATAAAAATATTTAAGAATTTTGCTAGTAGCTTCAACTACTATTTTGTTACGTTTTTATTTCATTACTTCATTTTCATTTTGTAGTTTTAATGCTCGTCATACTTTGACATACATTGCATTTTCTAAATAACATGCTTACATTTACATATATTTTTTGTATATTTTAATTTATTTATACCATTATTGATTTATTTATTTGAAACAAAACCACAATATTTTTAATTTAATCTAATTCAAATTTTTTTGTAGGATGAATTAGAACGTTTAAGACATGCATCACAATTAGATAAAAATAATTTAACGACAACATTAGCTGCTGTTGATGAAGAAAATCGTCATTTAAAAATGCGTTTACAAATTATTGATCAATCTCGTCTTGAATCAATATCAACAATGAGTACTGATGAAAAATTTCAAGCTCTAATACATGAACGTAAATTATTGGAGCAACGTCTCGAAGAAGCTCATTTACAATTATCTGATATAAAAAGTTCATGGAGTGGACAAAATTTAGCATTAGAAACTCAAGTTAGTCGATTATCAAGGCAAGTTGCTGAAGAAACAACTGAAAAACGAAAAGCTTTGAAAATGCGTGATGATTATTCAGAAAAAATTAAATCATTAGAATTTGATTTAATTAATTCAAGGGAACAAATAGAACATAGAGATAATAAGGTGAATTTTAATATGAGAATGAAAAATTAAAATTAAAAACTATAGCTAAATAATTTTTCTAAATGAACGGATTAACTTACATTGAAATGCTCTTTCAAATGAAATGAAAGTATATTATATATATATTTCTATAAGTGAAATGTTGCTTATTTTTAATAACTTGAATAATGAAACCACTTACCTCTTTACGATAAGACTTGAATTTAAAATTTTAATCTGTTAATTAATTTTTTTTTTTAAATTATCATAATTTGAGTGATTAAAACTTTTGTCAACAAACTTTTGTATGTAAATATTAAAAATTTAACAATTTCGTAAAGATTTTGTTCTTTATCACAATCATTTTGTGGCATATACTTTTAAGGAAATGGAGTTTTGAATATTTTCTTATTATTTTTTTTTTTATAATAAACTACTTAATTTTAAAAAACCTACTTTTTTCGAAAAATTAAAATATTTACATTCAAATTTATTTAATATTTGTATTTAATATGTGTTATTCTTGGAAATTTTTTTCGAACTCAAATCTATATATTCAGTTTGGTCTTTCAATATCTTTAAATTTTGGTATTTTTTTTCCAAAACAAAGAAATAAAAATAATTTTTAGCTTGAATATTGATAAAATGTAAAATTTTATTTAAATTTTTTAAATAATATTATTCTTTTGTTCCATTATCAAAACTAAATTATAGATAAAACTACTTGAAGAGGAAATTGATGAATTGAATTTAGCTTTGAGAGAATGTCGTGAAGAAAGTGAGGAAGAAATTCTATGTGTTAAAAATAAACTTGTAAGTAATTCAAATGGATCCTAAAAGAAAAAAAAATCACAAATCATAATAATTTTAAAAAATTATTATTTTTCACCAAAGATAGAAAAAACCAAATAGAATTTTAATTTAAATTTTAATATGCATTAGCTTGCCTTTTGATTAATATCAAAATATATTTGCATAAATTTAATAATAAATATTTAAAAATATATTTTTTATTTTTCTAAGTTGAATTTATTTAAAATTTTATTTTTAATATTTTTCCAAAGTCTTTATTTCTGTACTTAAAAATTTTAATAATAACATTAATGTAATAAGAATTTTTTTTTTCTTTTAAGTTTAATAAAATAGTTTTTGTTTTTTAATTTACTAATCTCATAAAATTTGTTTTAATTATTTGTTTTTGTTTTTTTTTGGAATTCTTTTATAGTGGGATTTAAAGTTCGGTTCTTTATTCTTAATTAGAAGAAAATATTTTAAAAGCTCTATTATTTGTTCCTAGCTATAATTTATGAATGTTTTTTTCAAATACTATAAATACTACAAAATTCTGTTTTAATTATAGCTTTCGGTTATTTTAATTGAATCTATTTAAATCGAAAGTAAGAAAAAGTTGTTCTACATGATTCATTTTGGTTTGCGGTTTAAAAATTGCTGACATACAATACTCTTTCTAATATATACTTAATTAGAATATTTTTTTCATTTAAAAAGTTCCATAACAATTTTTTAATTTTTGTATTAATATTTATTTGGTTCTATAATTTATTTAATTTTGCAGAAAGCTAAAGTAACTTATATACGATCAAGTTGCAAATTTGTTTTTTTTTTATTTAAAATTTAATCACTTTGGTTTTTGTTTTCGAACCTAAGTTTCTTAAGATTAAAAACAAAATATTTTTAAACTATAATCGAATTAGATTCAAATTAAATTCTCTGTTGTCATTCCAAATTTAAAATTGTCGCATGAGTTCCAGCGTATATCAAATTTTTCAATTCTCAATAAAATTTTTGGTACATTTTATAAAATATTCAGTATTTAATAGGTTTATAAATCTACAGAACTAGAATTCTAATATATTTATTTATGTGAATAATATTTTAATAAAATTAAAGGATTATTTAAAATATATTAATTAACAATTCAACAATATTTATATGACTAATTCTTATTTCTGTAAGGTGGATGAATAAAAATTTACAAAGATAATATTTTATACCCTAGAAAGTATGTATGCACATACTCATGTATCTTAAATATAATCAGATATATGTATCTTAAAATATTTTGTAGTGGTAAGTTTATTTTTTCTTTCTTTCGAAAATGTGAAATAACAAAAATTAATTAAAAATTTGCAATATGCAAAAATTTCAAAAATTGTTTTATGTCATTATAAAATTTTTTGTATAACGTTAAATTTGTAGCGTGAGTTTTATACAACTATAAAAATATAAAAGATTTAGTATAATTGAATTGATTCGAACTGAAGAGAATTGAGAATATTACAAGATTAACAGATTTCTAACTAGATTGGACTATGATTTATGTTATGCATTTTTAAAAATTAAAGAAAATTCAACATCGCGTTCAGCTAAATTACGTTGCAATTTTATCTTACTGTGTCTTTTCTGTAAGTCAACCAAAAATTTTGAATTACATTGGATATTGAGTCAATTGTAGTTTATGTTACATTACTTTCTTTAAGTTTCTGGTTTTTGCCAATATTCTAATGAATTCAAATAATTTAATAATATAATTTTATAACATTTTCCTTTAATTTTAATTTTTAAGTGCAAATTAAATATATTAATAAAATTTTGTAAAGTTAAATCGTTCCAAATTAAATGAAAATCAATACAGGCTGTCAGACCCATAGTTCAAATAGCTTCCGCTTTATGTTTGAATACATTTGTGTCAAAAAACAAAGGGAAATCTATGATAATTTCAATTATAATACGCATGACCATCAAAACACTTATCTATAATATCTTAAAAAATTTATTTTTTTATCTTAACCATTTTTCACATAACCTGTTATTTTTATAACAAATTTACAAGTTTTTCCATTAAAATTAAACTTTTTATTTTTAATTTTTTAATTGAAAATTTCATTTTATTCTATATAATCCTATTTTAAATTGATTTAATTGTTAGGAACAAGCGGCAGAAGAAATTCAAGATTTAAAAATACGTTTATCAGCAGCTGATGAAAGATTAAATGATTATGTTGATAATTCTGAACAAGTTACACTCGCGCTCCGAAAACAAATAACATTATTGCAAGAACAAATAACAAATTTAACATTAAATTTGGATACAGAAAGACAAGAAAAAAATGCAGCAATATTAAGAATTGCTGAATTATCACAAAGTGAAGAAATTTTACGTAAAGATTTACGAATTGAACGTGATGAATGTAATGAATTACATGAAAAAGTTGAAGATTTACAACAAAATTTAAATCATACAACAAATGAATTAAATGATATTAAACAAAAATCGATTGAGTTAAATACTGTGATTAATAACCAAAGTGATCGTATAGCACAAGTTGATAGTTTAACAAATGAATTAAATGAGAAAAATAAGGTAATTATTAATATAATAAAATTAATTATTATTTAAAAAGTTATAAAATTTTGAATTTTTCTCTTTATAGTCAATAAAAATATTAAATCAACGTTTAACCGATTTAAAGAAAACTATTCAAAGTGAATTACAATGTAAAACGAATTCTTCATATTATTCTGAAAATAATACTTTATCATCAACAAATACAACAATTAATTTAATAAATAGTGAAAAGAATTGTAATAATATTGAATTTTCTAAAACCAGTAATGGTTTAAGTAATTCAACAACAAATTCTAATATTACATGCAATTTTAATAATAATAGCAGACCTCAATCAGTTGGTAGTAATTCTAGTGGTGGTGTTACAGGTGGACCAATTATAATGGATGAAGTTAATTTTAAATATTTAAAACATGTGATTGTAAAATTTTTAACTAGTCGTGAGGTAATTTTTTTAATTTTTAACTATAAATCAATTTTATTAATATGATTAACTAAAAAATTGTGTGATTATTGAAAAATATATTTAAAATTTATTAATTTTAGAAAATCTTATATCGCAAACTGGTTTTACTCTATTACATAAAATTTTCACATAATTTTTTTTTTTAATCATTTAATATTTTTTTGGAAAAAAAAAAATATTAAATAACAATTTTCTTTTTTTATTATGTACAAGGTTGAAGCACGTCATTTAATTAGAGCTGTTGCAACATTATTACATTTGACTACAGATGAAGAAAAACTCTTACATGACACATTAAATTGGAAAATGAGTTGGTTTGGTACTAAACCAGATCATCGTAGTGGTCTACGTGCCTTTTCTATTCCACCAAGTTAATATTAATGAATTTAAAACAAAGAAAAAAAAAAAAAAACGAAATACAATAATTTTAACGATTCCAAAAAAATAAAAAAATTTTAAAATTTGAAAATATTTTTTTTTTTTGTTTTTAATTTTGATAATAAAATAATATTTTCGTTAAAATATCCTTAATTATACCAAAAAATTAATGAAAAACATTCCCGCTTCAAAATGCTATGTATTTTAAAATAATTTTAAGTTTTTAGAATTAACAAGAATAATTTTAAATTTTAATTAAAAATTCTATTATATAGGGTGACCAAAATTATATTGTATTTTTTTTTTTTTTTAATAAAATATAATTTATTTGATTAAATACTTTAATAATTAAAGTATATGTATGTAATAATAATTCAGAACTGATTTATTATATTTATAAGCGATCAATTTCAATCAAATAAATTTTGTTTTTATTTATTTAAATAATTTTTTTTAAAATGTTTTATTATTGTAATTTTAATTTCTGGCATTACCTAGTATTAAAAGTATATAATAAAATTGCATATACTTAGGCGAACTATTTTTAAAATTCATATTAAATCAGATTAAATTTTGTGTACGTAGACGTACATTTAAAATTTGTAATACGAAAATTATTTTTATTTAAAGAGAATTTTAATTAAAAATATTAAAGCTCACCTAACATTTCATTTTATTTAAATTTCAATACTTATATTAATAATTTTTCTTATTGTTAATTTATATAGAAAATAAATTTAATATAATTTTAAGATTTTCTTTATTCAATTATTTTGCATTATTTAAAAATTATTTGTATTTTTGTTCAAATTATGCATTTTTGCAAAATTATTCTTTTTAATTTTAATGAAAAACCAAAATTTTTAAAATAATTTTTTTTTTATTAACAAAAACAAAATCAAGTTTATTTCTTTATTAACAGGTTTATTGAATATTTAAATATTGTATACGGATTGTTACAACAAATTATTCGAAATTCAATCATATATGTATTTCAAAAATTAACATTTTAATTTTATTTTTGTGGTCTCTATTTAAAACTAATTTCTTTTCTTAAACATACATTAATAATTTGATTTTTTTTAAACAATAAATCTAATTATTAAATTCAGAAAAATTATCTTAAACAAATAACAAATTTATTATGAAGTTCTAAATATTTTAAAATCACAATTCAAATTATTTTATATAGATTTTGTATAAAATTGTATTCCAAATTTAATTCCGAATTAATTACAAAATTTAATTTAAATTACTTATTACCATTGTAATCGTATCTCATCCGTATTTTTTTTTTTAAAAAATAGAAACTTAACATATTCATATATTTAAAATATAATTAAAAACATTAAATATCTTTATAAAACTAAGCAACTATATTAACTTCATAAAATTCTATAATAGAAAATTCGATATTAAAATAAGTAAAATAAAAACAGAAAAAACCAACGTTATTATTTTAGAATTAATAGAATATTAAAATTTAAATAAATTGTAAAAAAATGAATGAAATTTTTTTTAGACTGACAATAATACGAAAATATAGTCAAGTAATAAAAGAAAAAAAAAATATTAATATTAATATTATTGCATGAATTAATATTGTCAATAATTGGAAAAAATTAATAAATAAATAATAAAAACACAAAACTCCAAGTAAAATGTATTTTAATAGCTTTCCAAAACAAAAAAAATCAGATTTAATTAAAATGAAATTGTAATCAATACGAATTCTAAATTAAATCCCAAATTTAAATAAAATTTCTGAAAAATAATTTAAAATAAATTGATAAATAATAATAAATATACAAAAACAAAAAAAAAAAATTCATCATAAATATTGTATAGAAATTTCAAAAATAAAATTTTATCATAAACTAAATTATATTTAAAAATTTTGTGTAGTAAAAAATCAGCAATTGTAAATTATATAAAAAAAAAACAAAATTTTCTACCCTTTTTATGAACTTCTTCAAATTTTAATTAATGAATTATAAAAAAAAATTATGTATAATGTCCTTTTAATTAAATTTTTCAATAAAAAATATAATAAAAAACCTTTGTAATCAGTTTAAATTTTTGGAAATTAGTTCAGTATCAATTTTCTGAATAAAATAATTAAATATAATGCACCATTTAATTATAATATAATTAATATTGAAAAATATATGTTTTGTTAATATTATTTTATTAAAAATATAAGAATAAACTAACATATTCTATATTATTATGAAACTTATTGAATTTTGTTAATTTGTAAGGGAAAAAAATTGGGTAGTTTGAATTTTGAAAAGTTTTTTGACTGTGATAGTAATATTTTTAGTAGGATAAGTTCATTTTTTAATAAGAAAAATGTTTAAAATTATAATAACAATACAGTTAAGTAAATGAAATACTAAAAATTTGACCAAATTTTTTTTCAGACCAATCATAAATTTATTTCTTAACTGTGTATAATCAATTTTATGCTTTTATAAAATAAAATTAAATATAATAATATATTTAATTAAATTATAATAAATATTGAGCAATTATAAAATTATTGGTGCATTCAAAATATTATGTGATTAAAAATTTTATAAATTTTTTTATTATAAATTATTATTTTATATAACATTATTATAAATTTTGAAAGTTTTGTTTTCTTTTTTTGTTATTTTTAAAATTGTAAAGGCAATAAATTGCTTATACAATTTAAAACTGAACTGGAAATTGATACAAAGGTAAAGCAATAATTTATTAAATTCTTCAAATAAATTTTATTTTTTCTGCTTTAATTGTATTAATTAATCTTAAATTGTTTATCTTAAATGAAAAAAATCAAATTTTGTTAAATTTTATTTTAGTTTTATTTTCATGAATATTATTATACTTAGTTCATTTTGAAATGTTTCAAAAAGTTTGTTAAATAAAAATGATGTTTAATTCAAACAAATTATAATTATTACAATATTTTGATTTTTCCGTTTTAGGGGTTTCCTTTTGTTGAATAGAAGACATTTTAGATATAATTTCAAAGAAATTATTTAAGAAAAGACTGGGAAAAAAGCATACAGCAAAAGTTTTAACATAAAATGTAATTCACTATTAAGAAATATTTAAAAATAAGCTTTTTATGTAAAAAATTTGAAAAGAAAAACAAACATTTATTTTTTTTATTTCATAAATATTTTTATTCTAGTTTTTAATTTATCTTACATATTTTTCTTTTCGTATTATTCTAATATTATTTTAATTATTTTAATTCTATTTTTTTTTTATATTTTTTGTTTTTCTTTTAAATTTCGTTCAAACTATCATCTTCATCTTCTTCATATAATAAATCATAAATTTCTTTATTATTGCAAAGTGCTGGATATTTTTTACTTCTTCCTGATTTACATTTAGAACCGGGTTTACCAGTTTTATAAACTGCTCTATCTCTAATATTTGTACTTGCATAATTACATGCAAATAAAATTTCATAAAAACCATCTTTAAACATTTTTAATGCTGAACAGCCAACACAACGATTACTTTCAGTTACTAAAGCTGTAAAATGTCCAACTTTTTCTTTAACCCTATGATATTTATCAATAATACTCATATCTGTTAATTTATATTCATCAAACCAATCAGTTATACCAGATAATAGGATTTTTTTAATATTTTTTGGTTTCATATTACTGTACCAACGAAATAAATTTTGTCCAGAAAAATGATATTTTTCAGTACTACGGCATTTATCGTGTTCATGCCGGCATGTTTTTACATTTAATTCAGCCATTCTAGCTAAATCATGACAATAACACATCTGTGCCATACGTCGTGCTGGTTTATAATTAGGTAATTTACCTGATGCAATAAGATTACGATATTTATTATGTGCATATAAAATTTCCATTCTCATAGCTTTATTTATGGGAATCATTTGAACTTCCTCAGGACAATCGGAAGAAAATTTCTAAAAAAACAAAAAAAAAGTGATTTAAAAATAAATACAATTATTTAAGAAAATTTTTAAAAATTATATACAGGACAAGGTCAATTAATTAAGCAAACATTGCTAAAGAACTACGAAATTATAAAAAATATCTCCCTAAAATTCCAAGTTCAATAATACTTAATAAAATAATTCAGCTTGCAACATGTAAATGTTAATTGTATGAATTGTGGAGAAACTAATTACAAGTGACATACATAATATGCAATTAATTGTTAAACTGCATGAATTCACATCTAGTTTTAAAACTATGTTTGTGTAGCAATACTGCATCGCTGAGCAATTAATAAGCTGAATTGAACATATGTACATATTGTATTACTTCAATGATTGCAATATGTCTGCGCAGATTCAGTTATGAATACTGCAAAAAAAAAAAACGCTTTCAAGCACACTATCATAAGAAAACAAATATCAATTTTTATTTTATTAATAAGAAAATTAATTATATTGTTTACAAGTTAAGCATATCACTCAAATGCCGCAATTCACTTTGATCTATGAAAAGCTGCTGGGCAATTTAATAAAAGAATAAAATATTTTAAATTTTTATAAAATTTAAAATTTTATTTTCTTATTATGTGTTTACGATACATGTACTCAAAAATGAGAAAAATAAATAAAAAAAAATGTATTTGAATTTATTATAAATTTAATAAGTATGTAAGTAATATTTATATTTTTTTTTTGTTCGACATCGAATACCTTGACCTTGATGACATTGTTTGATTTCAGGTATTCTCAAAAGAATATAATTGACTATAATATGTGTTGTGCATTTTTACGCAATTTGAAAATATTAACATTCATTTTTAGCACTTTTCCAAAAAATTTTTGAAAAAAAGTGCTTATTAGTTTCACTCTGTCCGTCCGTACGTCCGTCCGTCTGTCTGTCCGTGGAAGTTATACCGTCTGTCCGTGGAACCCCTCTAGAAGTTATACCCCTCCAAAACCCTAAAAATGGCTTTTTTTAACTATTTGTTGCAAGAACGCATAAAGGCAGCGGCTCGCTTCCCCTAGCGCGGTATACTATAGTTAAACTTTAGAAAAAGAAAATGGCCGTTCAAATTTACCGTTATCAAAAGTCCTTTTTTTCCAAATTTTTGATGTCGTTTTTCTTTTAGACCCCAGCCTGTAGAAGCTTGAAATTTTAGAGGCTTTTAGACATATTTAACAAATAGTTCATTTCCTTAGAAGAAAATTTTTTTCCATCTCCACCCCCTCTCAAGTTATCGCCTCTTGAAATTTGTAAAATTTGAATTTTTGACACCTTATATTTCCGAAACCGTAAGCTTTTTCAAATTTCTATAAACACAAAAAGCTAATGGTAAATTCCATGACATTAAAAAATATAATTATTTTTCTTAACTCACACAATTAACCCTTTAAATCGAGAATTATGTTAACCCCTCTTTATATTAATTTTTGCTTTATTTCAAAGACATTCATGTATGCATCATCCTAAATATATGCAATCCTAGAAATAGCTTTGTATATGAATGAAAATAATTTTAATAGTGTGATAGGTATACATAGACTGTATTTAAAAGCAGAATTTTCACTTGTTGAAGGGAAAAGTGCTACAATACAAACCGTTGGTTTGACCCAACTTTATTTTATTTTTGCATAAATTAATTGAGAATTTTATTGGATAAAAATTTCTTATTAAATATTTTCATGAAGGAATCTATCAATTTGAGAATAAAAGATAATTGAAGGTAAAACAATAATTATATATGTATATATGTTGAATATTATTACATACGGATATATTTTAAATTGAAATGTGATAAATATTATTTTTATATAACATTGCAGTGAGTGACGTGGAATCAACGCAAATTAAATTGTGCGAATAATAATTGTTAAATAGTAAATTTTTTCATATTAATTCCTATTTTGACAATTATTATTTATTCTATTATACTGTAGTTTCCAAAATTAAATTCATAAAAAAAAATGTAAATCATAAACATTTTATATGATTGTATGCAAGAAAAAACCCTACATACCACTACTTACGCTAGTAATTACGACTACGCTAACGCTTAACGCTACGCTATTTTATTTCCTTATTTCTGCCATATAGAATTCCATACCTACAAACATCTTTGATCCCTTAATGTGTTTACATATATAAATAATATAAAAAAAAATTTATATTTCCTGACGCTTCATTTTTTGACGCAGCCTCTCGTAAGAGCACGAGTTTTATTTTTGCACAAAATAGACAGCATTCAATGGGGGCATATTTTCTTTTGTATTTTATATGGGTACATTTTTGATTTGTGTGACATTCGATTTATGTAATCATATTTTTTACTATACTTGACTATAAATAAAGATTTTTTTTTATTTTAAAATCATTTTACAAAGTCATCATATGAAAACTGTCATATAAATATTGTAATCTTCAAATTGAAAAAGATCAAAAATTTATAATAAATTAATTTAATTCTGTTAGAAAAACAGAATATGAAAATTTGAAAAAAAAAAAATGAATTGTCACCTCCTTCAAAAATTAGTCATATAGATTCTATGTTAAATCATCAATCATTTAATCTTTCCGGTTGTCTTTTAATTTCTTCAATAATCAAATATTATTTTGCACGTCCATTACCAATTACATATGTATTTTATTATATACATAATAATATTAAATACATTATGAATGCCCTTCAGAAATCTCATCAAATCAAAGTTGAATTCTAATTCAGATTATTATAAACGCAATACTGCAAAAAAAAATAAGTGCAAAACGCAATACTGCAAAAACATTACGTGATGAATACATATTGAATATATTTTTACTATTCTATAAAATCAAAACAGTTCTTATAATTAGTAAACTAATGAAAAATTAGTGATGTTTATGAACACAAATATAACGCAATTTTCGACATAATATATTGGGATGTACTGCGCTTATGAAAATGTTTGATATTATAGCGTAATTTTACTGTTTCAATTTTATAATTAACTAAAAATTTTTAATTACAAAATAATATCGATTTTGCACAAGCATAAGTGCATATATTTTTTAAAGTTAAAATTTTTCAATTCTAAATAAATATATTTTATAATTAACTGTGTTTGAAGCATTCTTGTTTGACAGTTCATTCAGCATTTAATCAACAATCAGACCAACAAACTAAATGAATTAATTCAAACAATTTTTAAAATTTATTCTAAAATTAATTATTCAATTATTAAATTATTTTCAATTAATTATTTACACAATTAATATTTGTAATTCGTAAATATTTAATTAAATTTGTAAATTAAATTTCTAAATTAAATTACTTTGTATATACAATACTGAATAATTACTTAAAATCTACTTCCAGTTCTAATAAAATAATCTTGTTTAGTTTAATTTAAATTACTTAATTAACTGGTTTGATAAAACAAATCTTATTTAGAAATTTAACAGTTTTTTATAGTATGAGACTACTGGAATTGAAGAAGAATATTTTTTATTCTAACTGTTTTGAAATTGTTGTTACGTAACGACAACTTATAATAAATATTTTTTTATTATAATAATTATTTACTCAATATATATACAATAAAAAATTAATATACATATTAATAAACCACTTATAATTTAAATCTTCTTAATAAGGGAATTTCTTTTATATACAACTTATTAAAATTTATGTTTCGACAGACCGAATCACTAATAAATCACTGATCAATTACATCATAAATGAATGAGTACAATATTTCATTTATTTTATTATTATTTTTGATTTTCTAAATTGGAATTATTTTATTGTAAAAAATATATTTCGGAATAGTTTTCCAAACGCCGATCTAATTTATTAGAATTTCCAAAAACAGCACACATTTATTGATTAATTTATTTTTTATTGCAAATATTTTAAGAAAAGAAAACTCGATATTGTAGAAGCCACTTATCAATCAAGAAAAATGTTTATGCAAATTTCATTATATATGGAATATTAGAACAGAAACAAGAATAAGTATAACAATGTTTTTAACCTTGATTTTTATTTTAAAAATTATTATAGGAGTTTATCTATGGATTTTAAAATTTGAAGCAATATGAAATGTAAAAGTAAGTAAAATTAAAAATTAATGAAATTTAAGTCTAGACTCCAAAAAATAATCTTTGTGAATATATAAGGTTTTCAGGCAAAAAAAAAAAACAAAAGTAGTAAATCGAAACTCAGACTATCGAGGTTATTGCTATTTTCAGATAAAATAAATTGGGCATAAACAGAATTGAAGACCACACTATCATACAAATTCAATTTATTACATTCAAAATTATAAGAGACTGTTATATTTGCACCATTCCCCCGCCCCCCTCAACATCCTACCATTTTTTCTAAAAATTGATCATAGAATCAACCTTGAAATTATTTGCAACCTTATTCGAAAAACCCTGTTTAAATAATAACCTTATACGAGTATATTAAAGAAATTCGTTATAAAATTCATCACTGTTAATGCACATAGTTGAATATAAAGAAACTATCAGCTGAGGATTATAATGTAATTCGAAACTGAGCAAAGATTTCTTTATAAATAACACTGGAATAAAATACAAATTAAAATTTTACTTACCCCAGTATTGTTACATTTAATATGTTGTCCCTCTAATATATAGTCACACCATTTATCTTTATCACACCAATCAATTTGTTCATTTTTTGATTCACTAATAATTAATGTAATTGTAAAAATAACGGTAAATATTTTAATTAATTTAATCATTGTAAAAAAAAATTTCTTGCGTTATTTATTTTTAAAAAAAATTTTTTTTTTTTAAATTTTATTAAAAATATTTCAAAATTTTCAAAATTTATGTAATCGAATTTTTTTTCTCTTTTTAATTTTTTTTTTATTTAATCATTCTTTCAAATTAGTATAATATTTTTAATAATATTACAGTTAAATTAATTTAAAAAAAAAAAATTGCTACCCGTATACAACCATTATTATTGAAGTCTAATCTCAAACTGTCTGGATTAACTGAATTGAACAGATCATATAAACAATCTGGAGATTTTATTATTATTGTTCTTATGGTTTTTTTGTATAAAAAGTGATTTTTATAATTTATATGTTTGTATTGTGTTTGTGTATAAATTTCAAGAGAGTATGGCGAAAAAAAGTAACTCCAGGCAGCACGATTTTTATAATGGAAATAAACACAAAACATTAAAATTAGGTTAAACATACTTGTATATGCGAGTGTGTGTTTATGTAATTTTGTATTAAATGTTTATTTTTGTTTTAATTTCATTTATTAATTTCTTCTGTTTGCTTTTTTTCTGTTATTATTATTACACTTATTATGCCTCGTATTTATTATGATTTTTCATAGAGGACGCGCGCGATTCAATTAATCAAATTTGATTTAAATTTCAATTAATTCCAATAATTCATTTTTATGATATATAAGCTGAAAATCGAATCAAACTTTAAGTAATTTTGTAAATTTTGAATTTTTTAAAGTGCTTGTTTCAAACCTATTAAAGGGGTAGTATTGGGATGGCACCTTCTATTTTTGTTTTCAGATAATATTTAGAATATTCAGAAGCGAACACAAAAAAAATTTATTTCAACTAATTCTGGAAATATTCCTGAGGCTCTTCAAATATCAAAGGAAAATCAATAAAATTTTAAAAAAATATTATTAAATCGAGTATGTATACACACACTTATTATGAAACTCTATGAAATATAGCCATGTTAATTCAAATCTTTCTTATTATTTTTAAACTTATTATGTTAAAAAAGAAATTTTCGATTAATTATTGTAGCAGGGAACCAGTATTTGTATTATGACTCGTAATATGTAGGTATATACATGTTGTAAATATATAATTACAAGTCATTTATGTTCTGAAAGCGAAACCAAAAAAAAAAAAAAAATTGTGTAATTTCAATTCATTATTGATTCGAGCTAATTATTTTAAGAACCGCTTTATTTTTACCGACTATTTTACATACGCGTGTGTGGCATTGTAATAGCACCGAATTTTAGTACAAAAGCATATTTCTTCATATCTTACAGAGAATGATAAATTTCATATACGCCATAATATGCCAATTTTGTGTTATACTATAGAGTTTGAGTTTTATTTTAGAAATGAAATAAATCAATAAATTTTTGGGTTATGCGGGTTCCAATAACGTGATGTGTTGTAACTATAGAAAAAATTTAGACATTATCTTAAAATTTGCAACAATTGTTATAAATATAATTTTAAACTTTGGAATTTTCATAATCTTACGCCATGCCCTCGGTAAACTTAACTAGAAAATAGATTTGTTCGAATTATTAAATATTAATCGGGAAATATGCATACATACATATAATATAGTCTATTTTTAATATTTCTCAATTAATGGACAAACTAGAATTTTATTTTTATAAAACCAAATTATTTCATGAAAAAAATGCATACTTAGAGTTGTACTTCGTAAACTAATTTTTTCAATATCAATTTTCTCAAAACCAAAAATATTAAAATTGATTGAAAGGTGCTCCTTTCTTTTTATGCATATATATACATACTTACATTACATACACAAGAAATAAAATTTTTCCCATAATTTCCCATGCTTTATCTTTAAAATATAAAAAAAGAACGAAATTAAATTATTAAATTGAATGTTTAAAATAATACGATTAAAATTTGTTCTTGCCAATTATAAGTATCATTTTTCCTTTTTCATTATTTATTCGACATAAAATATATTGTATGTAATTCTTGAAATTTTTAATTTTGTCTTAAATTAAAAAAAAATTTTTCAAATTTCCAAGTTAAGCATACCAAATTTAATTTCACTACTTCACTGGATATTTTGCTAGTATAGTAAATTTCGGTTTTATTTACATTATGCAAAGAATATTCCAAATTTTTATGTTTATATTTATTGAAATAAAAAATCAAATTGAAATTTTCCTTGCTTAAAATTTACCTACATACATACATACATATGTATGTTTATTTTCAATTCGAAATTTATACTTTTCTGTTTTTTCATCCTATTTTCATTTCAATTTTAATTATGCACTTCCCAGATCTTAATTTGCGTTCATCTGTTCTTTATCAAAATTTCCAGAAGGAAAAAATATAATTAAAACATTTTTATAATTGGTTTCCCATACACCCCGGTATATACATGTAGATATGTACAATATTAAAGGAAATTATCAAATAAAAATGTAATAAATATTAAATTTTGTTTATTTTTAAAATATACTAATTGTATTTAAACGATAGAAATTATAAGATACATTTAGACTTATAAACTTTAATGGATAATTATTTATTTATAAAATTTTGTATGTTATACATATATTTATTTTTACTAAAATTTATAATTAATATTAAAATTTTAAAATATTAATATTATTTTATTTGAAACACGTCAAAAGTATACATACATTATGTCAAAAGCAGTGACAATACTAATTGACTCATTGATTGACTCGTTAATCGTAATATAAGTATGTATATTCCCATGTAATATATGCAAATCCATGTATACCTTGACACTATTTGAAATTAATAATATGCATAGCATGACCTTTGATTGGGTTCTCACTGAACACTGTCTCACGAGGGTCCACCTGAAAAGGATGGGCAGGGTGGCGGATGAGGTCTGCCGTTTATGCCTGGAGGAGGATGAAACCATGGAGCACTAACTGTGTGAGTGCGAGGCGGTTGCTCGCCTGCGGCTGAGGTGCTTCGGGAGGGGCTTTTTGACCTCGCAGCTTGATGTGGCTACCATACTGCGGTTAGTCAGAGGCCTAGGAATAGAGCTAATGTAAGGGGATGGGAATCACAAAAGATCCTATGGGTCGACGTGGAGGAAAAAAAAAAAATAACCTTTGATTGCAAAAAAAAAAAATATTGTCATTTGTTATATCTTCATTTCTCTAAAATAGAGAGTTCGAAATTTTCCTGTGAGCAAAAAATATTCTGCTCTATAGTCTCTATAGTAATAAGGGGTTTGTAAAATGCCAGTCGATCGTAATACGAATTTCAGTCGAAAAACAAATCTAAAAACCGACAATATAAGGAAAAAATTTTTTAAAATTTGATTTTATAAAAAAAAATATTTTTTCAAATTAAAAAAAATGTTTGCTTAAGTCAGAATTGAAAAATTAAAAATCATACTTTATTATACGGCTAGCAACATTAATAGCAAACGACGTTTGCATTAATGTTTGAGAACATTAACTTGAATTTTTTTGAAAGATTATAGTTCAAACGGCTATTGTATTACACGTACAGTGCTTACTACTCTTTCAAACTGAGTCGACATATAGAATTCGTTACTCTTCTTCTGAGTAACATAAGACATGTAAAATCTATTATTGTTCCTTTAGTCAAAGCTGTGGTCAACTACACTACGTGTAATCACTTTTAATGCCCTGTCAAATTTCAGTTTTTATTTGTCTTAATTGAATTTTCTCTTTGAGTCAATTTAATATAAATTTATCACATACATATATGCATCTAGAAAAAGTATATAGTTAGAAAAAGTTTTCTTAAAATTCAATATTTTGTATTATTTTTGCTTCAGTTCTTTTGCTGACGGAAAACTTATAGAATATGTTAATCTACCTATATAATATTTTCTATATAATATGTATGTATATATATAGTCAATATAATTACCAACACAATATTATTATTATTTTCATATTTTTAATAATTAATATAATTACTCATTAAAAATATTTTTAAAGTGATAAATCGAAGGTAAAATCCATACATTTTTACAATTTTTAAATTAAATTTTTTAATAATATTAAAAAAAATATTCAAATATTTGAATAGCAATCTTCATGTATGTATAAGGTGCAACAAATTAAGCTAAAAATTGACCACTTATTTGAGTAGAGACTGTATTAACTTCAATATTACTTACATTGTTATTTATGATAATAAAAATTTCATGATTTTTTTTTTTTACAGATTTGTATTCCATTTGAGATTTGTAGCGCACTTGAATTTATTAAATGTAGCACAATACAATTGACCTTAACCTTTATTACTCCAACTAAACACAAACAGATCAGTTTTTACCAGACAAATGCATTAAACTCTTAAATATTTTGCTTTCATTTATAAATTGTTTTTCTTATTTTATCGATCTAATTTTTTATTTTTATCATAAATAAAATTTAATATCTGTAATTGATCTTTACAGAAAAAGTAATAAATCTTCTATATACACCAATAAAATATTAGAAAGTTAAGTGTTTATCAATCACAAAAAATTTCATAATTATTTCAAAAGAAACTATAAAACTTTTATATTCAATTAAATTTAATTTAATAGGTTCATTAAATTGCAATAGTTTTTATACTATAGAATTATAATAAAGAAATTGCAATTTGCACATGGTATACAGCATAATTATATACTTACATTAAATTTCACTAATTAATTTTATTCAAAGATCACAGGAAAGCAATAATTTTAATTTAAAAAAACAAAAAAATTGGAAACATTGAGGTGGTAAATGGAATTCATGTCAATATGAAACGGCGCATACTCAAATTTGTTCAAACAAAATTTGGTTCGAACCATTCTTTGCAATTTTCAAATCTAAATTTAAGCCAGCATACAAAAAAATTTTGCAAATCTGTTTTTGTTTTGTATAGTATAAATTCGAAAATCTAGTTATAATGGCAATGATGAAATAAAAAATCAGTTCGTAACTGTTAATTCTGAGCTAGAGAGTTTTATCTTACTAACATGGCTGACAGAAATACTTTGAATTTTTATAATATCAAGCTTACTACAGTCAAAATGTTAACCCTTTATGGGTGATTGCATATTGTTAC